TGCTGCAGCAGCAGAGCCTGCGCTGGGCCCGAATCGGTGTGAGCACGCGTGCAACGGGAGGGTGGGGAGCAAGATGCAGCGCCCCACTGGGCGGGGGGTGATGCGACCTGTGTGAAGACACAAAAGGAGAGAAGGGAGAACTGACGATTAGAAGCTGTCGTGCACGACGTGCCAGTGCAGCCCTGCATCAGCACATTGGGGGCGTTGAATGGTGTTGTATTGACGAGGCGTGGTCGGTGTGCGTGGTTGCTTCGACATGCGGGAGGGGCAACGAGTGCAAATGAATTCAATCACACACATACACACACACATACACACACACACACGTTTTGTGTGGCGCTGGGAGCGATGTCTGCTGGTGCGTGTCAACCAGCAGTGCCAGTGGTGTCAGCCATGGCGGCATGGAAGCGGAAGTGTGGTGGTGGGATCCTTCACCTCAGTGCACATTCCAGCCACCACGCTGGAGACCACGGGCTGGCTCACTGTCTCCATGCCCGTGCATGGCACCGACCACCGTCTGACAGCGGTGATGACAATGTCAGCGGCCTGCTCTGAAGCAAGCACACATCGTGACAGGGGTAAAGGAGAGAGAGTGTGTGTGTGGGGGGGGGTGTGATTGACGAGGGGAGGTGGTTGACAAGAACAAGGACGTGCTGAGGGGAGAACTTGGGGAGGAGGAGTGCAAACTGTGGTGTGCATGTCGCGTCACGCAGCGCATTGAGGTGCAGTGCAGTGGAGTGGAAATCCCAGGCAACACCCCCCACGTCATCAGCCATGCACATACCAATACAGAGCGAGAGAGAAGGAAGTGCCTCTTGTTGTCGTGGCACACGGTGATGGCACGCGCTCAAGGACACGGTGCTGTCATTCAAGCCACCATCATCATCCTCATCGTCAGCCTGCAAAACAGGTGGTGGTGGTGGAGATGAAGACGCGCAGCGTTGCAGCCAAAAGCAAAGGGGGAGGTGAGAGGCATGTGACTTGAGATGTGTGAGTGAAGGGGGGGGTGAGTGGAGAAGAGAGGGTGTGCAGAGAGCAGGTCAAGCAAGGGGTGTGCAAAGGAAAGAAAGGGAGAGTGGACTGCGAGGCAGGGAGGAACAGTGTAAAGGAAGCAGAGCTGTGAGTACAACACACACGCACGCACCACGTGGTGGCCGTGTCGCTCGTCCAAGTGGAGTGAATGAATACACGTCCCTTTGTTTGGCTTGCTTGCTCGCTTGTTTGGCTTGCTCGTCTGCTTGATTGATTGATTGATGGATTGCATGTGTCATTGTCGTCATCAGCAATATCCCCCCTGCGGCTCCCTGCTGCTGCTGCTGCTGTTGTTGCTATTGTGGCTGAGTGTGACCAAACCACCACCGCCAACCACCACGACGCACCTTCCCATCCATCCTTTCCTTTCGTCGCAGCGAATGTGTGTGTGTGTGTGTTCGTGCATTGCGCGCAACCAGCGTGTCTGTGCAGAAGAAGACGGGAAAAGCTGAAATCAGTCGATGACACGACGACTGTGGAGATGTAGCAGCCCAAACTCGCTTGCTTGCACTCGCTTCTTCTTCTTCTTCTTGTTCTCTTTGGTGCAGTGCACACAGCGAGGCAAGGCAAGGCAAGGAAGGAAGGAGGGGGTGATGTGGCAGTCACCGCAACAGCAGCATGGGGAGAAGAGAGATGTGGGAGAGGGGAAGAGGAGATTGTTGGCGATCGCTACCCAGTCACCAACAGCCAACCAGACCAATGTGGAAGAATGGTCTTTGACGCACACACGCACACACACACACACACACACACACACACACACACACACACACACACACACACACACACACACACACACACACACACACACACACACACACACACACATGCACACACACACACACATGCACACACACATGCACACAAAGTAGGCGTCACGTCAACGATCCCCAGGTGAGCCAACACACATCATGCCCACTGTTCCTTTCTCGACTTCTGCTTCTTGTTCTTCTTTTTCTTGGGCACTATTCGTTCGCTCCATGCGTCAGGCAACCAAGTATGTGAACGTGGGACGCGGTGTCCTGTTTGTGGTGACAGTGCTGTCGGTTGTTGCTGTTGCTGTCTTGTTGTGGGTGTGGATGTGGACTCCCTTCTTTCCTTCTTCTTGTGGCACAAGGATGTGTGCAGGGGGCTGTGGGTCTGCTGAAAGTGGTGGTTTCGTCGTCGTCAGGCCGTCGTTGTTGTGCTTGGCTGACGTGAGCATGTGCTGTTCTCTTGTGATTGGACAAGGCAGTGGCCTGCAGAAACCTAACGACGCTCTTGAGAGTGCACTGGCAACACGTGCCGCTGACACACGCACACCACAAGGCAAGCGACAAGCAGTGTCACTCACGGCCACCTGCGAGGTGGGTGCAATCACACCTCCGCTCATGTGTATGTTGTGCATGTGTGTGTGTGTGTATCAGTGCACGGTGGTGATCCGATATCCAAACCACAACCACTGCTGTCACTGCTGCTGCCTTGCTGCTGCTGGTGCTGCTGCTGTTGGCACGTGTATTCTCACGGTTGCATCGTCTCTTCCTCCCACGCAAACAACAAACAGACAGGAATCGGCAAGTGAGAGTGGCGGAGACCAAGGCACCAGCAACACAGAAGGCCGCGTTTGAGTGGGACGCACCTCCACAGCGGTACCGGGCGAGCAATCACAGCATTTGCGCTGACATCGGTCAGTCTTCTCTCGTGATTACAGTCACACGTCATTCATCCCCCAGTTTGCCATCAAGTCAGTTTACATGGCATGCACGCTGTAGGTGCTCATCACCTGCCCCATGCACACGTGGTTTTCACACACACACACACCCCACAACAGCCCGCTTGCGCGGCATCATCTCGCTGGACATGAGTGTTGGGGATGATGATGGAATGCCCCCGTCTCATCATGTCTCATCATGACAGTGAGCGACGTGTGTGTGTGTGTGTGTTTCTCGTTTCGCTCGGCAACCGTGTGATGACGGCTTATCACTCTTGCGCACGTTCCCTCGCTCACTGCAACACCCATCTCGCTACTGTTAACGACCAGGTTGCCATCCACTGGATGCCCTTGGTTGCGTCGATGGGGCAGAGTGTTGGTGACATTGGCAAGATGCTGCTCGTGGCGGGACAGAGCGAATGCTTTCAAAAGTATGCGCACACTGTATGTGTAAGCGTGTGTGAATATGTGTCGTCGACGTGGTCATTCTGCCATGCGTCTGCTGTGGGTTCTTTGCTTGCAATCGTTTGATCTTGTGCTACGATGTGTTGTCCTGATCTCTGTTCCTCGTGTGTGTTTGGGCCACAGGGTACGCCTTCAGCTGAAGAGAGGAAGGGGAGGCGCTGCTCCGGCACAAGGATGATGGTGACATGAGGTGCGACCACCGAATTGTGTTTTTGTTACGGGTGCATTGCCGCCGCCGCCGCTGCTGCTGCTGCTGCTGCTGGTGGTGGAGGTGTGCACACTGAA